AACTCTGCAACCTCGGTGAGAATCTGTACTTTGTGCTTTTCCAGAAGCAGAGGAGGAAGGTGCTGCAGTGGCCCAAGCCTTGGAAATCCTGCCAGATGGCCTTGCATTTGGGGATCTGCCAGGTGCAATGAGAGTGTCCCAGGGACCTCTTACTAAGAAACCCCACACCAAGCTGCTGCTTAGTTAGTGTGCAGGGCCACTGAGAGTATGTTTGGGCCCCAGTGAAAAATGTTGAGGTTCCCCAACAAGGTCAGTCTGTCTAAAAATCTTTATGTGGGATTTAAATTCAGGATCCAAGACTCTTTCCAGACCACAGGTCCAGCTGTTGGTCCCAGCTCTCCCCTCTTTTTCCATATCACCCTCACTTTCATTGGCTGTCCACCCAGACCTGACCCCATCTGCCTTTTCTCATAAGTGACCTTTGAAACTCAGGCTGCACAGATATTTGCTGAATCAGCAGAACCAACTGCTGCTCTCTTGCTTGGTTTCAGGCCAACAGGAAAATGTTCCAGGATGCTCTCGTGAGGCCCTTATGGCGTTAACTATGTGGGCCTGGGAAGGGCTTGAGAGTAAGGAAGGAGAGAGCGAATGAAGCAAGGCACAGGGAGCTGGTGAGGAGGATGGAGACCATTGGGTTTTCCCAGAGGCAGGAGTGACTTGTTTCTCTTGAACTATATTCTTTTTGGGTGAAAGGGAGGAAGGAACAGTGGTCTGGGCTCTTGGACAAGCAGGGAACAGAAGATTTTTGTAAGTGCCCACTTTGTGCCAGCTTCTAGGTGAGCAAAAAGATGCATGCTCCCTCCTCTCAGTGAGCCTTCATTCTGGCCCCATTTTCCAGCTTACCAGCTAGAAGTCCTCTCTAGAGGAAGAAAAGGAGGATAGGCAGTTTGGTGTGCACTGGCCTTCATGTTGTGTCCTCAGCAAGCAGGCCTTCCAGCCGCAGGCAGACAAGGACCCTGAGTGTCGAGGCTTTTCTTACTCTGTTGATAGAGTTTGGCCTGCTGGGAAGTGATTAGGGTTGGGGGTACTGTACTGTCAGATGTGATGATATGCACATGCAATACAGCTATCTCCATGAATTGAATCTTCGGGGCTCCATCCTCTTTCCAGCTATCCTTGGCTCTTACTGTTCCTGACATAAACCCTTGACTCCAACCAAGAAAACCTTCTCTCTGGACTCTCAATATGCTCCCCCTTTCACCCTTGTTCTCTTCTGATAGAGGGTAGCTCTAGGCAGCAGTGATCTGCTTACACTTGTTTAGATGTTTCTAGATATATGCCTCAGGTATGTTGAACAAGGACTGTTTGCTTCTCTCCTGTTTTTCCACTGACTGACAGACCTTCATGCTCTCTTAGTAGCTCTCAGAATGGGCCACACAGGAGCTGCCATCTCCAGGCGGACAACCCTGACTCAGTAGGAACAGAGACACCTGCTCCAATCAGCATTTTAGACAACAGGCTAAAAAGCACATCTGATGATTGTCTAACTATCCTTGAGCCTCCAGTCAGTATGACCCCCTGGAACTCAAAAAATGACCCAAGATTTATTTTATGCTTAAAGGATGGGAGTAGAGAAGAGGAGACTTCCCTGAGCAGCTTAAGTGGAACCAAAGGATAGATAGAAGGAAGAAAATATGGGAGAGAGAAAGAGTTTGAGGAGAGGGAAGAAGGGGGGAAAGAGAAGGAAGGACAAAGAGAAAGGGGAAGGTAGCAAGAAAGAGAAAGTAAAAGAGGAAGACAAGGGACGAAGGAAGAGAGGACAGGACAGGAGCTACTGAGCCATTCAGACTTCATGGCTACTTGGAGGTGGGGGGTATGGGCTAGAAGCTGAATTTGAATTATAATTCAAGAATCATGTCCAGCCTCCAGTAATCCTCTGCCTAGGGGCTGGAGAACATGGACAAGCCCTGGGCTTTGAATGCATGGCTGGCTGGGTGGGCAAACGTGTTCAGATAGAGAAGCTGTGGTCACACTGAAGCTAGTAGCCTCCGGTAGGGTCGTGTGCTTCCATGGCAAGAAGTAGATTTCACCAGATCAGGCTGAGGTTCTGACTCCAGCCAGGAAAGGGATAATCAATTCTGTAGATGCTGTGAGCCTTGATTGAAAAAATAAAGAGGAGGAAGCTAGATGCTGCTTTCATTAAGAGGCAAAAGCAGTGGGGGCTGGAGCTTAGCAAGAGTCAGGAAGCATGCAGAGAAAGAATGTTAACCCCTCCAGCGTCTTTCTTCCATGATACCTCTGCACTCACCCACTCCTTCATCATCACTTCCTTGGCCTGACCTCCAAGGCCACCACCTTCCTATCTCCCTCATCTGCCATATCTTCTTCCTACTTCAGCATGCCCAGTAGAGAACTGATTCAGCAGGGAGCTCCCCAGGAGAAACACCAGGGAGAGGGCTGCTGGCTCTGCTCTTCTTCTCCTCACCTCACCCTATCCATAAAGATCTCTGCCTGCTGGCTGCATCTAGCCCTGCACCACTGAGAGGTATGGGCAGAGGAGGATAGCCATACAAAATGGGGGTCATGGGTAGAGAGCAGGGTGGGGCCAAATGTAATCAGCAACAGTGATTCATTACTGAGGTTCTGTGGGGGAAACTTAGGTTGAAGTTCAGCAAAACAGTGGGGAGAAATGGGTGGTACAAAAGGCACAAAAGACATTCAGCCAGCCAGGATGTCCATGATTTCACATCCAAGGGGAGAGAGAGAGTTGCAGGGAGGAAGTAAGGCGCTCTCTCTGTCTCTTGGTGTCCAGGCTCGGGTAGCAAGGGGAAAAGCTGGAGGATCTGGAGGAAGGAAGGAGCTACTAGGGGTATTAACCTTTTAGTGCCTGGCACAACTTCCTAAGGGAAAGATTTTTAACAACTTCTACTCTCCTCCACCATTCTAATTATTTCTTATTTTTGTTCTGCCCCTATGGGAAGCAAAAGCAGGACAAAGGAGAAGGAAAGATGAAGACGCTATGGTTTGTCTCTGGTTTTGACTCAGGAGGCTGGATAGGAATCCAGGTGATTCCTAAATCCCCGGTTTTCCAGCAGGAGCACTTGGGCAGGAGAGTTTGGGCTCTTTAAGCTACTTTCAGGGCCACAACAAAGTCCTTTTCCAAGAAAAAATTATCTTTCCTCAACCCTTTTTGCTCACAGTTCCCTGAAGAGATGCGAAGAAAGTGGGGAAGAGAAGGGAGATACCAAAGGGCATGAGGAGAGGAATCTGGTGGAGAACCATAATTACCAGGAAGCTGTGGCCGCCCCCTGAAAAACAAATGAAATAGTTCTTTCCCCCCTATTTAGGGAAAAAGCCACATAATACCTTGTAAGAACATTGTCTTTTTGTTGAATCATGGGCACTGAAGGAAAACTGACTTTCTGCTTTTTATGCCAGATAAGGAGGGAAACTATGAAACTGAAGGAAGAGCAAATGGGACATTGAGGGAGCTGGGGAAGAAAGCTGCATCTTCTTGGGGCTTGAATCAATTGCTATAGGTCTGCCAAGTCAGATCATCCTGGATCTTCACCCCTAAGAGCCCATGATTCCTGTCAAGTCTACGCTCTATGAGCTAACATATCCTGACCCGACTTCTCTAACTACATAGATATGAGGAGAAAATGAGTTTTTAAGGAATACATCAAATCTTCACAAGTATCTGCGGACCTGAAACATGCTGAGACTGGATGAGGTGAGATTCTTGGCTCTCCTCCCTCCCCCCTCCCCCTCAGCTCCCCCTTTAGCATCACCATTGTCAGGGTCAGGTGCTGATGAGGTACTGATTTCCCCTGAGCTGTTCTTCCATGCAGTTCTCCCATCACCTGTATACTCAGAGGAAGGAAGCTGATATGTCACAGCCTGCCTAATACAGAGGAGAGAATATTCCAGTCCTCTTTTATCTCTTCTTCCCATGTCCCTAGTCCACAGACATTGAAAGTAAAGAAAGAGATTGAGGTCCTAGAGTCCCTCGCTGGGGCTAATGAGTATATTTCTCTCAGGACCCAACATGAGATTCCTAATATCACCAAATAACCAAGTGGAGACAAGATTTGCAGCCATCAGCCATAATAGAGAGAGATTTAAACACCCAAATACCACAACTCCCTTTGCCAACTATCTCTCTTATCATTGTTCCCTTCCCACAATTGCCAACCATCCTGCACAAAAATCCTCCTTGAGTCAGAGGAAAAGAGCTATAGCCAGATTGAGTCCTCACGCTATAACTGAGTCCTCCATTGGCTTGGTGGGTTGTGCCTTTGCACCCCTTTGGTCCTGTGGGGATTCAGAAGAAAGATGCCCACTCAGGTCAGAGCAGAGTAAGCTTCCCCAAAGAGCCACTCCTGGCTTTGATCCCACTGCATCAGTTAAGAGCCAGACTCATTCCTCTGGGAAATGCTTTTCCCACCCTTTATCTTCCTCTATCCCCAGCACCCCTGCCTTCTCACATCATTCCTGCTTTTCAGCCTTATCCCCTGCCTCCTAAATTTTCTCAGACCCCAGTTCTATTCTTCCTGGACCCTAGCCCTTTTAAAGCTCTTAACATGTGTCTTTGCCAAGCCTCTGTCTTTTTCATATCTCACTCTCCATTCAAATAATTTTACTACCCAAACTCCCTTCCAAATTTTTCCTAACTTAAAAAAAATTCAACTGCTCTTTTTTTCTTCAGTGTAATCTTCACCACAACTTCCTCCCAATTTTGTCTCCTTTAAAATCTGCCAGTTTCTGATATCCCCAATCACTTAAAACCCATTTCTTTCCTCCTTTGCCCCCCGTAAGGGTCTGGATTCTCTCTTTTGCTCCAACATCCCCTAAACCCTCTCAAACACTGATATTAATACCTCTTTTCCCCCAAATCTCCTTGACACACTTCTACCTCCAAGCATCTTCTCATCTCTTCACTTCAGGTTACCCTAGTCCTTCAGACTCTTAGGGGCACCCGATTTCCGCCTTATCTCCTCCTTACACCCATTTGCTTCCCTTTCTGTCACTATAATCCCTCTCCTTTCTTCCCCACTCACTCGGGTCTCCTGCTCAGGACGCCCTTGCCCAGGGCGGCGGGGGATTTGTGCTGAAGGAGGGTTCCAGCGGCAGTGCAACAACCCGAGGGACGCTCCTTCTCCTTGTCTGCGATGGCCCCGGGCGCCACAGGGTGCTGGTGGGGCGACTGGGGTGCGTGAGCCCTGCTGCTGGGGCCCGGCTGGGGTTGCACCAGGAGCTGTCCGTGGTGCTGAAGCGGTGATTGCTCCGGCGCAGGCTGTGGCGCGGCGGGCGAGATCTGTCGGTGGTTCTGGAGTGGTTCCTGGGCCCCGGCGGCGGCGGCGGCCGCGGCAGCGGTGGCCGGGGTGGCAGGCAGCGGGGCTGGCGGCGGAGGGACGAGCCCGGGCGGAGGCTGGGCTTGCAGCAGCTGCTGGTGCTCCCACAGGCTGCGGTTCTCGGCGCTTAGCTCGTCCAACCGCCGCTCCAGCTCGTCGATGCGCTGGCGCTGGGTGTGGATGAGGCTCTGCTGGTTCTGCACGATGGCCGTGAGCTCCTTGAGGTAGAGCACGGCACGCACCGGGTTCTCCAGCAGGCTCTCCATGCCGCCCGCCGCCGCCTGCGCCCTGCCTGCGCCTCGGCAGGCGGCGGGGAGCGCGAGGGCGCGCAGGAGCCGAGCAGCCCCAGCGATCCGCTCGCCTCCCTCTCCAGCGGGCCCAGCCTCCCTCCCCGCCGCCGGCGCCGCGTCACGGCCACACAGGCATTCACACACGCACCGAGGGGCGGGACCGCGGCGCCAGGGCCCACCCTCCCACCCTCCCACCTCCAGGCTTCGGGAGGAGTCTCGGCTTCCTGCAGGACTGACAGGAGAGAAGGGAGAGGAGCGAGGGAGCCGGTAGGGAGCAGGATAAACGAAGGGGACCAGAGATAGATAAATCTGGAGAGAAAAGGAAAGCGGGTGAGGTGGACTTAGGTGTACTGGGAGAGTGCGGTGAGATAGGTAGGAGAAAAGAAGCAGATAAGGACAGAGGAAAAGAAGAGGAAGAGGCTGGGAGAAGGAGAGGGAAGGAGAAGGAGACAGAGAGAGAGAGAAGGTGGCAAAGGAGAGAGAAATGTATTTAAAAGGAGGAAGTCATGGGACTCGGAAAGGTCACAAATTCTTTTTCCCACGTCCAGCCATCCCAGAGGTTACGGGTCATCTTAAAGTCCTTCTGAGGAGAGGCACACTTGCCTCTTTTGTACTCAACAATCTATTCTGCTAGGGAATTCCCTGGGATGCAAGGATCATAGAATTATAAGGGACTCTAGAGAACATCTAGTCATTTATTCAGCCAAGAGGAAACTTAGGGTGGGCAGTCTGTTTATGTTGGGTTTTCTCTGGGAATGAGACCTCAGGACAGTTTTGGCCACTCTAATATGAACATTAACTAAATAAACCAGGTCCTGTGTGTCATGGTTCATGCTTCCAGAAACTTCTGAAGAGATCGTTCTGTTTGAAAAACATTTATGCAGTGCATTCTCCTACAAACACCGGGTTAGGTGGTGGTAAGATCAAGATGACTAGGATGGAATCTAGTACAACAGATATGGTGTGCACCTAAATAACTAAAATACAAATCAAAATTTCTGTTAGAGCTCTTCAAACCAAGTTTCATAGGAGTTCAGGGGAGGGAGAGGTTGTGTTTGCCTATGGTAATCTGATCAGGAGGAGGTGTTATTCAAGCTAGGCTATGAAGGATGGGAAATTTCAACAGGTAGACAGAACAGGGGAGCAGAAGATGAAGATATGTCAGACAGCAGGAAAAGACTAAGGAATGGAAATAGAGCACTTTAGTTTAATCTAATTTGACAGAAAAATGACCCTTTCCTTTGGGCTGTGAGTGCTCTTAGCATATCTGTTATTCTACTGTTCTATTCTCCACACAGGTTGTTGTTTCCCCAGGGAAGGCATAGCTGTGGATACCATGTGTCCAGCGAGCTCGGCCAGCCAAGCCCATCTGTTGCCAGACTTGAATGACCTTATGGGAAAGGGTATGTACTCTGCAAATATATTGGTTTCTCTGCACCTGCAGTGTGTTTTTATTTTGTTTTTCTCCCATTTATTTTCCTAGGAAACTTCCTTCTATAAAGAATGAGTGAAAGAACTTATCCATAGCTGAGCCAACAGTTAGGAGAACAGAGCACCGGGGAGGATCCTTTGGTAGTGATCAGTATTCCAACTAAAGAATGGAGGTTGGGGGATGGAACGAGGGCACACAAAAACTCAAACACTTTTCTTCTGAATTTTCTTTGCTCGCCTAGTCAGTTTGTTTTCCATGAGTTGGGTGCCCATAGAGACAATACTATTTCTACAAGTAAAACAGTCGGCAGCATAATTATCCTTAGGGCTTGTTTGAAATGCAGATTTCCGGGCCCCATGTTAGTCCTGCTGTGTTGGAATCACTAGGAATGAGGCCCAAGTGCATTCATTTTTTGACTTTTTTTTCCTTTTATTTAAAAAAAATCAACTTTATCGAGTTACAACTTACATGTAATCATATGCATCCACTTTGAATGCATGGTTTAATGAGTTTTGACAAATACATACACCCATGTAATCAAAATTTCCATCACTGTAAAAAGTAACCTTATGCCCCTTTACAGTCAATTGCTCTTATCCTCAGCCCCAGTCCACCACTGATCTGCTTTTTGTCAAGATAAATTAGTTTTGCCTGTTCTAGAATTTCTTATAAATGGCAATCATAAAATATATACTCTTTTGTGTATTTTGTTTTGCTCAGCATAATGCTTTTGAGGTTCATCTACTCTGTTATGATATCAATAGTGTGTTCCTTCTTATTTCTGAGTAGTCTTATGTGGTATGGATAAAAACCATAATTTATCTATTCACCTGAAAATGGACATTTTGGTTGTTTCCAGGTATTGGTTATTTTGAATAAAGCGGCTGTGGACAAGCTTAATGGACAAGTCTTTGTGTGGACATATATTTTCATATGTTTTATTGGGAGGAAAAATCTAGAATTGGAATTGTTGAGTCATATACTAAATATATATTTAACACAATAAGAAACTCTCAAATTGTTTTCCAAAGTGGTTGTACTATTTTTTATTTTCACCAGCAGTGTATGAGAGGTTCAGGTGTTTTACATCCTCACTAACACTTGGTATTTTTAGCCTTTTTAAATTTTATCACTTTGAGTGAGTAGTAAGTATATTAATATGGCTTTAATATTTTTCTGTTAACTAACACTGTTGAGCATTTTCTCACATGCTGTTGGCCATTTATCTGTTTTCTCTGCCCACTTTTTTTTTATTCAATCTTTCTTTTCTTTTCTTTTTTTTAAATTTTATTTTATTATGTTATATTAGTCACCATACATTACATCATTAGTTTTTAGTGTTCCATGATTCATTGTTTGCACATAACACCCAGTGCTCCATGCATTACATGCCCTCCTTAGTACCCATCACTGGGCTAACCCATCTCCCTACCCCCCACCCCTCTAGAACTCTCAGTTTGTTTCTCAGAGTCCATAGTCTCTCATGGTTCATCTCCCCCTCCGATTTCCCCCCCTTCATTTTTCCCTTCCTTCTATCTTCTTCTTCTTCTTTTTTTTAACATATAATGTATTATTTGTTTCAGAGGTACAGGTCTGTGATTCATCAGTCTTACACAATTCACAGCGCTCACCATAGCACATACCCTCCCCAATGTCCATCACCCAGCCACCCCACCCCTCCCACCCCCCACTGCTCCAGCAACCCTCAGTTTGTTTCCTGAGATTAAGAGTCTCTTATGGTTTGTCTCCCTCTCTGGTTTCGTCTTGTTTCATTTTTTCCTACCTTCCCCTGTAATCCTCTGTTTTATTTCCCAAATTCCTCATATCAGTGAGATCATATGATACTTGTCTTTCTCTGATTGACTTATTTCACTTAGCATAATATCCTCTAGCTCCCTCCACATTGTTGTAAATGACAAGATTTCGGGTTTTTTGATGGTTGTATAACATCCTATTGTGTGTGTGTGTGTGTGTGTGTGTGTGTGTGTGTGTGTGTGTATATATATATATATATACCACATCTTCTTTATCCATTCATCTGTTGATGGACATCTTGGCTCCTTCCATAGTTTGGCTATTGTGGACATTGCTGCTATAAACATTGGGGTGCATGTTTATGGACCTTCGGATCACTACATTTGTATCTTTGGGGTAAAAACCCAGTACTGCAATTGCTGGGTCATAGGGTAGTTCTATTTTCAACTTTTTGAGGAACCTCCATACTGTTTTCCAGAGTGGTTGCACCAGCTTGCATTCCCACCAACAGTGTAGGAGGGTTCCCCTTTCTCTGCATCCTCGCCAACATCTGTTGTTTCCTGACGTGTTAATTTTTGCCATTCTGACTGATGTGAGGTGGTATCTCATTGAGATTTTGACTTGTATTTCCCTGATGCCGAGTGATGCTGAGCACTTTTTCATGTGTCTGTTTTGTCTGCCCACTCTTTCTATTGAATTGTTTCTTTTATCTATTGAGTTGTAAGAGTTCTTTATATATTTTGGAAAGCAGTCTTGGTCAGATACATATATTAACAAATATTTTCTCTAGTCAGTGGCTTGCCTTTCATTTTCTTAACATTGTCTTTGAAGAGCAAAGGTTTTTATTTTGGTAAAGAAAAAACCTCACTTTTTTTTTCTTTTTATAGCTCATGCTTTTTGTGTCCTATCTAAAAATTATTTGCCTAACTCAAAGCCAAAAACATGTTCTCCTGTGTTTTCTTCTAGAAGTTTTATCATTTTTGCTTTTATGTTTAGGTCTGTGATCTATTTTAGGTTAATTTTTGTATTTAGTATGAAGAGTCAAAGTTCATTTTTTCCTTAAACTTTTGACAGAATTCATCACTGAAGCTATTCCAACCTGGAGGTTTCGTTGCGAGATTTTTAACTACAAATTCAAATTCTTTAATAGATACGGGGCTTTTTATCCATTCTATTTCTTTGTGTATCCATTTTGGTAATTTGTGTGTCTGGTAGGCAAAATGACTACCAAAGATGTCTATGTCCTAGTCCCCAAAACCTGTGAATTTGTTTCCTTACGTGGCAAAAACAACTTTAAATATGTGATTAAGTTAAGGATCTTGAAATAGAAAGATTATCCTGGATTACCTGGATGGGTCCAATGTAATCACAAGAGTCTTTGTAATGGGGATGTGAGAGTGTCAGAAAGGAGACGTGACAACAGAAGGAGAGGTCAGAATGAGGCAATTGCTATCTGGGAAGCAAAATTCAGAAAATACAGGTGGCATATAGAAACTTGAAAGGGGGGGAAACAGATTCTCCTCCAGAGCCTCCAGAAGGAATGCAGTCCCACCAATACCTTGATTTTAGTCAGGTGAAATGCATTTTGGCCTTCTGGCTTCTGGAACTGTAAGATAATTGTGCTGCTTTAAGTCACTATGTTTGTCGTAATCTAACAGCAGCAATAGGGAATGAATACAAGTGTCTTTCAAGAATGTATCAATTTCAAAAAAAAAAAGAATGTATCAATTTCATCTAAGTTGTCAAACTTGTTGGCATGAAGTTGTTTATATGTTCTTATTAGACTTTTAATGCCTGTAGGCTGTGTAGTGATGTCTCCTCTTTCATTCCTGTTATTGGTAATTTGGGTATTTTTAAAAGTCAGTCTGGCTAGATATTTATCCATTTTTATATTTCCATATAACTAGTTTTGGTGTAATTGATTTTTCTCTATTATTTGTCCATTTGCTATTTCTTTGATTTGCTCTTTTATCTTTCTTTTTTCCTACCTACTTTTGTTTCCATTTGCTTTTTTAAAACTAGCTTCTTAACATAGAAGCTTAGACTATTGACTTTAAATCTTTCTCCTTTTTAAAAAAATTTTTTATTTACATATAATGTATTATTTGTTTCAGGGGTACAGGTCTGTGATTCATCAGTCTTACACAATTCCTTTCTCCTTTTTTAGTATAAATACTTAAAACTCTGAAGTTCCCACCAAGCACTGTTTTACCTGTATCCTAAATTTTTCATATTTATTCAGTGCAAAATATTTTTAAATTTCTCTTTGTATCTCCAAATCTTTCTATTATTCATTTCCAATTTAATTCCTTTGTGGTCAGAGAACATATCTATATGAGTTCAATCTTGTAAAATTTATTGAAATTTTGGAACTTTTTTATGATCTAATTTATGGTCTATTTTGATGAATGTTCTATATGTAATTGTCTGATAGTCACTCCAGCTTTCTCATTATTAATGTTTGCTTGTGTGGTAGGCAGAACAATGGCTCCCAAAAATGTCCATATACTGTCCCAGTAAACTGTGATGATATTACCCTACATGGCAAAAAATACTTTGCAGATGCCATTAAAATTAAGGACCCTGAGATTGGGGAGATTGTCCTGGATTTTGTCCTCAGCACACCTGTGCCCAGTCTAACCACATGATTCCTTAAAAGCAGAGAACTATATGTGGTTGTGGTCACAGGGAAGTGTGACTACAAAGGAATGGTCAGGGTAAGGTGATGTGAGAAGGACTCTGACCTACTTTGCTTGCTTTGAAGATGGAGGAAGGGACCATGAGCCAAGGAATGTGAGTGGTCTCTGGAAGATGGAAAAAGCAAGGTAACTGGTTCCCCGCTAGAGCTTTCAGAAAGGAATACAGCCTTGCTGACACCTTGATTTCAGTCTAGTGAGACCCATGTTAAATTTCTAACTTACAGAACTGTAAGATAATAAATTTGAATGACTTAAGCCATTACATCCGTAATAATCTGATGTGACAGCTACAGAAAACCAATGCAGCATGTTACATTTTCCCCCATTCTTTTCCTTTTAATCTATGTATGTCTTTAAATTTAAAGTATTTTTTTTCCCCATAGAGAACATTTAGTTGGATCTGACTTCTTAAAAATCTAGCTTGAGGGGCACCTGGGTGGCTCAGTTGGTTAAGTATCCAACTCTTGATTTCGGCTCAGGTCATGATCTCAGGATTGTGAGGGCAGGGAACCTGCTTAAGATTCTCTCTCAACCCCTCCCTCTATCCCTCCCCCACCAAAAAAAAAAAAAGAAATCCAGCCTGACATTCTTTCTTTTAATTGGAGTGCTTAGATTATTTACATTTAATTTAATTTATTTATCAATATGTTTGGAATTAAATCTGCCATCTTGTTATTTTATTATTTGTTTCATTTGTTCTCTGTTCTTTTTCACCTTTTCCTGCCTTTTTTTAGCTTGAATATTTTCTGGTGTTCCATTTCACCTCCACTGGTGGCTTATTGACACCACCTCTTCATTTATTTATTTAGTGATTGTTTTGGGTTTACAATATTTGTTGTTAAATTCTCATTGTCTATGTCCAAATATTGTATTTCACATATAATGTAAAAACATTACAACAGATTATTTCCATTCCTCCCATCCTCTGTGCTATTATTGTCATAGATTTACTTCTGTATTTATTATAAATTTCATAATACATCATTATAATTTTCACCTTAAAAAGTCAATTATCTTTTTAATTTTTTAAATTTTAATATCTTTTTTATTTACTCATATATATACACATATATGTATATGTATATATATATATATATACACACTGTGTGTGTATATATATACACATATACCATTTTGGCCACTTGCATTTCTATATAGATCCAGGTTTCCATTTGGTATCATTATCCTTTCACCTGAAGAATTTTCTTTAACATTTCTTATAGTCAGGTCTGTTGGTAACACATTCTGTCAGGTTTTTTCTATTTATGTCTCCTTAATTTTTTTTTTAAGATTTTATTTATTTATTCATTTGAGAGAGAGAGAGAACACAAGAGAGGGAGTGGCAGAGGGAGAAGGAAAAGTAGGCTTCCCATTGATCAGGGAGCCCGATGCAGGGCTTGATCCCAAGACCCCAGAATCATGACCTTAGCCAAAGGCAGACGCTTAACTGACTGAGCCACCCAGGTGCCTCTATATCTCCTCAACTGTTAAAAATTTCTTTTTCATGGATATAGAATTTTTTACTTTGATTTTTTTTCAGCACGTAAAGATATTGTTCCAGTGTCTTCTGGCTTGCCTTTTCTGGCAAGAACCCTGTGATCAATCTTATCATTGTTGTAATTCAAAATGTGGAGAAAAATAATCAATGGAAACAAGATGTGAAATGAAAGAGAGGTGAAATTAGCGAAGATTATAAAACAGCTGTCATAAATATGTGTAAGGATTTAAAGAAATACAAGAACACAATGAGGAGAGAAATGGGAAATATAAAAAAAACTAAATAGAACTTCTAGAGGTAAAAATATAAATCTGAAATGGAAGTTTTACTGGGTGGGAGTAACAGCATATATACACTGCAGAATTAAAAATCAGTAAACTTAAGCTTTGCGCAGTGGCAGTATCGTAGCCAATGAGGTTTATCCGAGGCGTGATTATTGCTAATTGAAACTTTTCCTAAAAATCAGTAAACTTAAAGATACAGCAACAGAAATTTTTACCTAACCTGATTAATATTGATCCACAGGTCTCTGAGCTTCAGTTGTTTGTTTTTTTTTTCCCAGTCTTTTTTCTCTCTGTGCTTCAGTTTAGATAGCTTCACTTCTAGAAGTTCCATTTAGCTCCTTTTTATATATTCCATTTCTCACCTCATTATGTTTATGTTTTCTTCTAGTTTGGGGTCTTACTTTCTTGCTTCTTCACATGTCTAGTAATTTTTTCATTCTATGCTAGACAGTTTGAATGTGATTCCGTTGAGTGCTGAATTTTGTTTTCCCTTAAACAGTGTTGGACTGTGTTTTTGCAGGTAGTTAAGTTACTTGTGGATCCACTTGATCCTTTTAAGATTGTTTTAAGCTTTTTATAGGGCAGTCTAGAGTAATTACTACTCTTGTCTAATTTATCCTGACTACTATGGCGTGATCATTCTGTCATCTGATTGAATGTCATCAAGATCTTTGTAGTCTGACTGGTCAGAACTCTAATTTTTCCAGCCTGTGTGAGCCCTGAACTTTTATTAAACATCTTAAACCCCCACAGTCATTATTTACTCAGTCATGTAGGATTTCACTCTCTCTATATATGGCTTAGTGTTCAGCCACAGACTCAAGGAGGGCTATCTGCAGATTCCTGGAGCTCTTTCTTTATATAACTCCCTCTTCTCTGGCCCTCTGCCCTATAAATTCCAGCCACTTCAGCCTCCTCCAATCTCTGTGTCCTCAATTCAGAGAGACCATCATGTTCTGCTTTGGCTCCCTCTCCCTGCCCTGCAATCTTGAAGGTTTCTCCAGGCAGTGAGCCAAGATGATTGTAAGGCTCACCTAGTTTGTTTTCCTTATCTCAAGAATCATAATGTTGTGCTGATAGTTTTCCGATTCTGGAAATTGGGGTTTTTTTTTTTTAATTTTTTTAAAGATTTTATTTATTTATTTGAGAGAGAAAGAGCACACAATTGGGGGGAGTGGCAGGCAGAGGAAGAGGGAGAAGCAGGCTCCCCACCAAGCAGGGAGCCCGATTTGGGGCTCAATCCCAGAACCCTGGGATCATGACCCAAGCTGAAGAAAGATGTTTAACCGATTGAGCCACCCAGGCAGCCCTGGAAACTGGTTTTTAAATGTATGTTTATATTGGAATGTAACAGTTTTCTAGTTGATATTGGAGGGCAAGTGCAGTACCAATTTTTGGCTTCTGGCCTTAAAAATTGGCCAGAAGACAAAAAAACCCTACATTTTTAATAAGCACCCAGGTAATTCTGATGTATTCTAAATGTGGAGAACTCCTGGCTAGAGGGAAATAAAAGTAGTGCCTTACTTTTGTGTGGTACTTTCCAGTTTGCAAGACCTCTTCATATGCAATATCATTTAATCCTCACATCCACTCTCCGAAGAAGGCAGGGATGGGATTATGATTCCCCTCTTAGGACACAAAATTTGAGGCCCAAGGATGTTGTGACTCCACAACATGGTTGGTAGATAGGACAGCTGGAGTTGGAACTTTAGTCCTCAGACCCTAATGCACAGACTCATCTCCCATACATTTTGAGAAGTGACGAGCCCTGGAAGAGACAAGCTTAAGAGTGAGCTTGGGATTACCCTTCCCTGAACCATGCCACTTGTTTGCTCCCCAGTGCTCAAGCTGTTCTTTTTCTGTCACTGCATTGTAGCCTGTCTTCCAGCATTAGGTCCCATCACTTCTCCTAATAAATGTTAGGTTCCAGCCAAACTGGACTATTTACTCCTCCCCAAATCCAACAACACACTTCTGTCTTTCTTGTACTTTCTACTCTAGCTAAAGTGGCTTTTGCACCCTGAATCCCTGCATGTCCAAATCCTGTCCCACCAGGGCTCAGTAAAAATGCCACTTATGCCATGAGTATCTTCCATTTGCTCTTCTTTCTTTAGATTCTCAAAGCACATTATCTATGTGTCTTTCCCTGGCATTCACTACTCTCTTTGTTATATAGTTACCTGTAAGGTGTTTTCTCCTAGACTGCAGTCTTCTGAAGGGCAAGAGTTAGTACCCCTCTGAAACTAACAATATACTATATGTTAATTAATTGAATTTAAATGAAATAAAATTTTTAAAAAGTTAGTACCTTATAAATCTTGGCACCCACCCCACATCCCTATCTACACTAATTCCAGGGCCTGGGGCACAATGGATGTTCAAATAATGTGTTTAATAAAAGAAGAAATGTGGTGGTGGGGAGAGAGGATAATGAGTAATTATGCTTAGTTGTAGGGAAGAATTCGGCCATACAAAATGGCTCTTTACCCCTTTGGCCTCAGATGTCTCTCTTTTAAAATGACGTTGTTGTTCAGATGCCTGGGTGGCTCAGTCAGTTAAGCATCTGCCTTCGGCTCAGGTCATGATCCCAGGGTTCTGGGATCGAATCCTGCATCGGGCTCCTTGCTCAGTGGGAGCCTGCTTCTCCCTCAGCCTGCCGCTCTCCCTGCTTATGCGCGCGCTCTCTCTTTGACAAATGAAATCTTTTTTTTTTTTAAAGATTTTATTTATTTATTTGAGAGAGAGAGAGAGAGCACATGAGGGGGGGAGGGTCAGAGGGAGAAGCAGACTCCCCGCCGAGCAGGGAGCCCAATGCGGGACTCAATCCCGGGACTCCAGGATCATGACCTGAGCCGAAGGCAGTCGCTTAACCGACTGAGCCACCCAGGCACCCTCTGACAAATGAAATCTTTTTAAAAAATTAATAAATAAAGAAAATGACATGGTGGGATCTTGGTTAAATTGTGTGTGTGTGTGTGTGTGTGTACTTTTCTACATGTATATATAATCAACAATAAAATGTTTAAAAACAGATTGTAGAACAAAGTCATTTCTACATTTCCTCTTAACTATGACATATACATTTTAAAGTCATAATTCTAGGGCAATTTTATGGAAGCAGAAGGGATAGTAATGATGCCTTTGATGACCAATGACGAGCTGCAGGAATAGCAAGGCATTTGGTTCTTCCGGCCCAGGGTCTGAATTCAGTACCTCTCTTCCTCCCCACCTATTTGGTCAGAACAGGGGGTGCTGCCGCCACTGCCCACAAGCTGCATCCCCCTGGTGAGAAATCCTGTCCTGTCAGCACGGAAGGCCCACAGATTTCCCACCTCCCTCTGATTGGACAGTTCTCCAGACAGGCAGGTGGGGCTGAGGTGTTGCTCCTGTCCAGATCTGATGGATTCTAAACAACTGGCCAGGGCGTTCAGGGTCATTTCATCCAGCTCTCTGCCTCCGGGTAGAACAGCAACTAAGCCCCACAGATGACAAGAAGTTCTCCTGGCTCACACATATTTCTTATGTATACCGTTGCCAGGACTGGAAATACATCAGGCTATCAGCCTATAGGGAAGTAAAGCAAATATGGCCTCTTTTTTGCCTTATTGTTCTATGGTAATAGTGATGATAATCCTAGCCAGCATTTGTATTTCACATTATGCTTTTAAATACATCTGGGCCTTGGTTTCCTCAACTATAAATTGGAGATAATAACCGCATCCATATCATAGGTTATTTTAAGGATAAATAGTACATGGGATGTGCAATCACATGTATTCATTGTATATGATCCTCAGTGAGTGGTAAGCAAGATTTTTCAGAGGTGGCAAATGAGGCTCATAGAGCGTGGGTAGTTTTCTTGAAGTTACACAGCCAGTCAAGCCAGAATCTGGACTAGAACCCAAGTCTCCTAGTCTAAGCCCCTACCCCTTTTCCTTTTCACCACATATTAGGGCATACAACATGGAAGGAATACTTTGGGGGAGTGTTGACCAGTAATGACCTGTACTTGTGTGTGTGATGAAATGAGATAAAGCATGTGAAGCATTTAGAACAATGTCTGGCACAGAGCACTTTTTTTTTTTTTTTTTGGATGCCTGATGTGAGATAATAGCTCATTGTTGTCTTGGTTTGCATTTCCCTTAGGACTAGTGACATTGAGCATCTTTTCCTGTACCTGTCCCCCTTCTGTAGATGTGTCTTCTTTGAGAAAATGTCCATTGAGGTCTTTTGCCCTTTTCAATTAGATTATTTTTTACTGTTAAGTTGTAGGAATTCTTTATATATCTTGGATATTAACCCCTTATCAAATAAATGGCTTGCAAATATTTTTCTCATTCTGTAGGTTGTCTTCTCATTTTGTTAACAGTTTTGCTGTGCAGAAGCTTTTGAGTTTGAGATAGTCCCACGTGTTTTTTACTTGTTGCTTGTGCTTTAGGTGTTATCCAAAAAATCACTGCCAAGATCCATGTCAAGGAGCTCTTTTCCTAGGTCTCCTTCCAGAAGTTTCATCATTTCAGGTCTTACATTTAAGTCCTTAATCCATTTCCAGCTAGTTTTTGTGAGTGGTATAAGATACAGGTCCTGTTTCATTCTTTTACATGTGAATATCCAATTTCCCTAGCACCATTTAAGAGACGGTCTCATGTCCATTGAGTATTCTTGGCTCTCTTGTCATATTAGTTGAATGTATATCCTTGGGTTTATTTCTGTACTCTTGATTCTGTTCCAATGATTTGTTTATTTTTATGCCAGTACCATATACTGTTTTGAGGACGATAATTATGTAATGTAGCTTGAAGTCTGGAAGTATAATGCCTACTGCTTTGTTCTTTTTCAGGATTACTTTGGCTTTCGGGATTTTTTGTGGTTTCATTTAAGTGTTAGGATTTTTTCTACTTTAGTAACAAATGCCATTGAAATCTTCATAGGGATTGCATTAAATCTATAGATGGCTTTTGGTAGTATTGACATTTTATCGATATCAATATTTCCAATCCCTGAACACATGATACCTTTTCATTTATTGGTTAGACTTAATTCTTAATGCTTTACAGAAACTGACCTCATGCCATATGCATCAGGTTGTATACAAATGTCTATCAATGTCCTTTCGTGTTAGGTATTTTCAGGATCATTTTTGCATGGTTACTCTCTCCCAACTTTGACATTCATTTGAGATTGCCAGGAAGATAAGGACAGTGCTACTCCTTGTAATTTTTAATTTTCAGAGGTCTGCTTCT